TTTTTAAAGTTGTACCATGTCATGGATTTGCACAGCATGTCAACAGCTGCTTTCTAAAAGGTAAAGTCTGGTGCTGTTATGGGGGTGGGGGGAGGCTCAGAGCTTAAGGAGTGAGATTAGTGATTTAAGGGTCTGCAACATTCACACTACTCATTTTGTTCCTTAAATCCATTCCCATATACCTCCCAATGGTTGGAGAGAGGAGGTTGAAAATCTGAAAATATTGCTCCTACCTATTCCATAAAAGTGATGCTAGATGATCATAATTTTTATCCCCTGGTCTAAATTATCTGGGCTAGAGTAATGTGGTATAAACATGTCTTGCAGGACCAACAATATAGCCAAATGGATTAAAGTTCCAGTTTATCCTGCAGAAGGGTGTATGTATATACACAGAACAGCAAAGTATATGCTCTTTTATTTTTGAACGGAAAGTCTAGAATTTTAATTGTGTGACAACAATTGTATGTATACAATTCTTCATACATTAGGTACTGTAGTTGTTAGATAACTAAGACTACCTGTTTTCATGGGATTTTTGAGTAGGCTTGTACTATATAATAATGACGGTGCAAGTAACCTTCATTGGTTGATATAAGAAAGGCTCTTAGCTTTCTTTAAATCATAGTCCATTACAAGTTTCTTGTTTGACCTACATCTTCCTCCTGAACTCATTAAAGTAATATCTTACCAAGATATTTTCCTAACTTGATATGAATATATTCCTCTTTAAAACTCTTTTCATTGGTTCCAAGATATTCCTAACCATCAGTGTTCAGTTTAATGGCTTACTTTTGTCTCTTTATTCCTCTCCAGGGCTACACATGCTATCATTCTTAAAATAAATATGGACTCATCCTCTGTAAAGGCAGAATATAACTGATCTAAACTCTTCTTTCTATACAAATCAAACTGCAAAGTGACGTTCCATCAGATTAGGATTTGACAGTAGTTCCGTGGTTGATGGGCAAGCATTTCCAATGCTTAATCCTGCAACAATAGAAACCAGAGAAACAACAAATAGGATTTTGTGTATTTGTGTGCAAAGCCACTTGTGAACAACTGGCTCTGCTACGGAACCCAAATTCTTGAGCTCAGCATCTGTTCAGAGGCACTCTATTCCTTAACTCCTTCATTTTCATGAGCCCCCCACCCCAACATATCTTAAGAATCTCAAAAGCACATTATCTTGTAAACAGATTCCAAAACAGATTTTGTAAACCTGGCATCTACTTGCCAAGATATCATTAGCTTATACCCTTCTGAAATTAAAGGTTTAAGATTAAAATGCTTAAAATAGTTAAGTCTCTAGCAGCAAACATTTTAATTTATATTTCTGATTTATATATAGGCAGTTTTTCCTGTGTCCAGCATCAAAAATGATCAAATTTCCACTTTTTTTAAACCAAACTTACAAATATTCCTCAGTTGTCATTGATTTTAAAGAGGTTGCCTGCAACCTTTTTAATACTTTGTGTGATTTCCACATAACCACAGTACATATTGTAAAAGAACCATTACCCCAACCATATTATCTATGTATGAAAATGGAAACTATACCATGTAAAAAGGGTGGTTTAGCCTGTTTTTACAATCTTTTTGATCTGAGACTTCAGTGAAAGAAATAATTTTTTAAAAATCCAGATGATAACGATGATGATGATGATGATGATGATGATGATGATGATGATGATGATGATTTTGGTGGTGATGTTTCCAGATGCTTAGCTGTTTTACTAGCCAGAACATGAGTTCTCTCTGGCTAGGAAATTTATTCAGACCTATTGTGCTCTCCCCCTACCAATTAGAGATTATACTAACCACTGAACCAATTTTTAGTTTATTGATTGGAAGATGCAATTGCTCTGGCTGACAAAGTAAAACCCACAACACAAAGGTTAAGCTCTATGAGGAACAGAAGTTTGCCAGGAACATAATTAGGCTCCTTCTATTACTGGAATCACAATAATAAATAAAGGAAAAATGTAGCCTCTTACCCTTCTGAAAAAATTAATGTACACATGTATAAACAGGCAACAACAGAAAATGCCACATGATATGGCAATGTAGAAAATATTTTGTTTAAGAACAAGTTGTCAGCTAGACAACCAGTGGGGATGGTTCCAATTTGCAGACCCCCTGCCCCACATGAACTTTTATAGATAAAATAACAATGGTAATTGGCATGCTGTTAAGCAAAGCACCAGCCTCTACAATTATCCTTATTTCCAAGTATGCTCTGGACCCCAAAAGCTTTCTTGGAATATAAATATGACAGAAGGCTGAAACCCAGTGTTTTTGCTTTGACCCCCAGCAACAGAAGTAGGATGAACCCACAGGCATAGTACATGGTGTTCTGTAGACTAACTAGCATCTTGCTGAGTTGATGCTTGGGAACTAATTATGCCCCATAATTTGTAAAAGGACAAGCCTACCCAGCAGCAACTTTTGCATGAAGAACCCACATCAACATTACTGAAATTCCCACCAGCCTCACAAAGTTGGGAAACCTCTCTTTTAAGGAAGGGGATCTTTTCAAAATGAATGAATTGATTTCATCTTAGAAGGCACAATATTTCCTTATTAAAGAATGCCTCATTCACCTAAGTTTATCTTAGTATCAGGAGTTTAGATCAGCCAACCTCTCAAAAACAGGAATGTTTAGAGAGCAGGGTGTAAGAAAAAACATACAGGAGAAGATCAGGAATCCATAAATATGGCTAAAGTCATTCTTCCTAAATCACCACCATTTAATGCTGTCTTCACCCATATCAAGAAGCAAGGGGAATGTGCATGCTTTGAAAATCAGAATGGCTTCAGACCTCATGGGAACTAAAAAAAATTGCACCAACATGTTCACAGAAACACATTGTATTAAAGAAAGATATTAGCAAATATGCACATGACTTTTTACATGGACTTTAAAAAGGTATGCTGACCCTAATTTTTGGGCATGTGTGTGTGCCTTCAAATCAGTCGTGATCCCTGGTGACTGCCTCGACTGATCCCATTTTCTTGGTAAGATTTCAGAAGTGGCTTGATATGTTGTCTGTCATTATTGGGTTCATTTCATCAAAATGAAAGCCAATATTCTAAAAGAGAGCAATTTTCAATAATGACACATGTTTTAAAGTGCAAATTGGTGGAGCCCCTCCATGAAAGCCAGAAAAATGATGAACGCTTTGGTTCCTATCCAACTGTTCTCCAAGTTCCCATTCTTCCATCTAGTACGCTCATCTATACTACATAGATACACATAGCCTACTTGCTTCTCTATAACAACGTTCAACGTAAATGTTTCATTCCAGCTCAGTCACTGGACACCCTAAGATCAGGGGGGAAAAATACCTTCATTTCAGCCTGGTTCACCTGAAAGGCTTCAATGCTATGCAGACTTATTTGAGAGTAAGCCCCACTGATATCAATGGGATTTACAAATTAATATACTTGCCCCTCTTTCAATCATATCCCTTGATTAACAAGAAACTTTGCAGAAATTCTCTTGAGCATGGTACTGTTTTTGTACCAGTGCTTCAATCTGGCATGTATTGTCCCAGGGCAATCTGAAATTTATGTTCGAATGTATGGTGTTCAAGCGGCTTGCCTGCTTCCCCCACTATCCCCTCACATCATCCCAGGAAGTATTAAAAGCATCTGCTATATTTGCATGATACATTTCTAATCCAAATTATTATTAATTTTTAAGTAATGCAACTTTATGGAAGCTAAATACAAGACAGAGTAATTACTGAGAGCTATTTTCCTTAATGGACTAGAAATAGCTAAGAATGGCCTTGGGCAAATGCAATATATTCAGAGAGTTTCTAATTTTAAAATATTTGTCCTCTTCAAGCTGCAGCTGGATTTAAATTCTTACAAGTTCTGTGCAACAACACCATGCTTCGTCTCTTAGCTATATTCAGGCTATAATCAGTAAAGTTCCATGAGTTAAACCAATGAGAGTTTTTCAAATATCAGGAGGCACCTGTTACTCTGAGAATAAAAGCTTAAAATAGAACAAGCTCTTTGGAAGAATGCTGATCTTTCAGATGAAAGAGAATTTTGAATTGCAGCATCTCCCCCCATTGTTCTAGTATTCAGCCTGTTTCAGAATCAAATGTGTCAAGTATTAGTCTCCAAACCTTGCTGCAATACCATATTAAGGACCAGTTCAGGCCCTATGTAGTTCTTCCACATACATAATTTTAAAATAGGGGAAAAATGAACTCATCATATGCATAATGTAATTGGTAAAGCCAGCTAAATGTTCTTAATTGAGGGTGGAGGAATAGATAGCAAATCTCAATGATCAACAGCTAGAGTTCATCATTCTCCATTAGAGAGTATTATATTAGTCAAGCTATTAAGTAAAATCTCCTTCAAGTAAAAGTTCCTGGTGACTTCATGGACATAATAACGTAGCTTTCTTGATAGCAATATGGAAGCAATTTTGCTGATTTTTTCCCCCCAAATTTCCTAATCTAGCCTATAATCCTAGTATTCCCTGGAGATTTCCTATCCAAGTACTTCTGGGTTGTTCTGCTTTCTGTCCCCAATCTATTTCTTAGGACTGCTGAATGCTCAAAACTGTGTGGGATACATACAAGGCACTACAAGAGGTAGGTGGACTAGTGAAAAACAGATGCTTCATCTTTCTCAAGAGTAAGTATTTTCTGCCAAAGCCAAGGCATCATTGGATACAACCCACTTTCCCTGTTTATATATACACAATGAAGTTACAACCATTCTGTGTTTCCTAGTATTCTGTGTTTCCTAGTATTACAAGCAACAAAACAAGAATATGTGACAATCATAAACAATGTAGGATTTACAAATAGAATATTTACTACATTTTTAGCAGTTCAATGATTTCTGTATAAGTTTAAGTAAATGAAATACTTGTTTGTGGATTCATTTCAACTTAATTCATAGTTGATATAGCTTGAAGTGTGTAAGCTAATTCTGTCTTAAGTATAATAGATTATGGATGGTTCTTTCATTTAAGTGACCTCATCAGTCTGTACATGAGAAACTGACCAAGTTAGCTGTGTTGGGTAAAAGAATAATTTCAGAATCTATAATAAGGGAATACCTTTACAAGGCTAACTCAAGGGACCCAAAGTAGCCTATGTGCTTAAGTTCTCAAGTACTCTTCGTGAGGCAATATGTAAACTAAGTAAAATGAGGGAGGTATAAATGACTAATGTTCAGATTCTGCAATGGAAAAAGAGAAGTATTATTTGATTTATTTGTTTTTCATACCTCCACAATCATGTTACTCTCAACTGCGTACACATAAAACATCCCCAATAAAATGCATATAAAATTAAAAACAATTCAACCAAATTTAAACTAAAACAGAGCAATACGTTTTTATATAAAATATCAGTTGTGTTGTCCAACTAAATAAAAGAGCTCCATTTTAACCTGTTTCCAGAATGTTAACAAGGTTGGGCAAAGTCTAATTGGCAAGGGGATGCCATTCCATGATATAGGGGCCATCACAGAGAAGCCTCTCCTCTATTTTATACAATCTTCATATCAGGATGTGTCAAAATATACTTGTTGCCTATTCTGCATTCATTTTAAAACCTTAACTAATAACATTATCAGCAACTTCTTCCTCTTTTCATGCCCTAGTCTACTTTATCATTATAGCTGATGAGGGTTTCTCTGTGAAAGACTAATACACGTTTTGGCTTAACATAGATTCTGGAATTCATGTATGCAATTTATCTAGCTTTCTTGGAACCAACTTGAGATTTTATCCTAACAGAATTCTACCTTTTTAGCCATGGTTTTATCCTTGCAGCAGGTGTTTCATTGTTTTTGATATTAACAAGTGATGTGTTGGGAAAAGATCTTGATTAAATGACTAAAGAGAGAACATAATGTTCTCTCACAGTCTATCCCAGAGCAGCTAGAAGACTGAGATCTGCAGAAATATCTCAGAATAATTTACAATAGTTTGCCAGTTATTTAATACTGCTGATAACCAATGAGATCTTTCTCTTTTAAATACATTTATTGAAATAAAGATAGCTTCAGGGAAAACCAGAATGGGAAGAGTGGTTGAATATTTGCACAGAACTTTCTTTCTTTCTTTCTTTCTTTCTTTCTTTCTTTCTTTCTTTCTTTCTTTCTTTCTTTCTTTCTTTCTTTCTTTCTTTCTTTCTTTCTTTCTTGTCAGTCATTTCATGTGTGTGTATGTACGATAAACCAGCATTTTGCACCTAACTTTGGGTTATAGCTTGTAGGATTCTATCAGTAAAATTAAAACATCCTATAACCTTGACATCTCTTAATCCCAAATTAGTCTTGGCAGACTTAAAATGTATATTGGAAAGTGTAATTACTCAACAGTACAGATGCATGTCAGAAGGGAAAGGAAATGAAACCTTCCATAGTTATTAATTGTGAGGTTACAGTATATAACCAGTCATAATGTATTTCAGTCACTGAATTTTCAAGGAAAAGTTCATCTGTGAAATAGGTTCCAGTATAGCTATTTATAAGTCATACACATGCAGAATACAAATTGTAGAAGCTGGCATTCTCATAGTTTACGAATCAAAACTGATACAGCAGTCAATGGCTGTTGCAATCAAAGTTACAGAAACCTTTAATTAATGTTGCAAGACATTAACCTTCAATCAACAACCAGCAGTCTAATTAATCATGCAAGCATTTTTTACCAAGAAAGTAAAATTAAAATGTCCCAAATGTATATGACAAAAATCTATATTCATACCTTATGTCTCTGTGTGAAACAAAATAAATAGAAAGCATTACAGTTACTGTTCCAACAATACCATTATCACAATCAGAGATAAAAAATTTCACTAAGTGTGTTAATGCTGATAAAAAGAAAATATCAAACCATACACAGAAAAGAATTACTAAAGAATTTCCATTACATAAGAGAAATAGAGAAATAAGTTGTAAATGATACTATGGAGAGGTATTTAAACCAGGGTCATTGTTATTTAAACAATCCAATCTTGAATATGTTTACGAAAAGAAAAGAAAAGAAAAGAAAAGAAAAGAAAAGAAAAGAAAAGAAAAGAAACCCCACTCTTCAATGGGCCTTACCTCCAGGAAAGTGTGTATAAACTTCTCACAACATCCAATTGTCTTATATTCCATTTACATGCAAAAGTTTTTTTTTTTTTAATCTAAATCATACTTTACATTCTCAACCTTCTACTTGAAAAGAATAATTTGGAATGATAAATTAGCAGAGAGACGGTTGACTAATCCTTTCCTACACATCCCATAAAGTGCATAATTAGCAAATAATTTACATAACAAGGCTGTCTGGACTTTCCTGGAACAGGAATATGAAAAATGTATATTCCATATTTTTATATCCCCATTGCATCTTAAAAAATGTTTTCGATAAGATGAAGTATAACCCAAAGATATAAATGCAGGAATCCATATTTGTCTTTTAAAAATACAGTAAATAAATAACAACATTTTTATGTCTAACTGCAGATGGCAAGACGGAGCAATCTTACCCAACAGTATAATATCCAAAGTTGGGTTTATATAGTGGAGAAAGAATCTGTTGTTCTCACTTCATTTGTTTGCTTGTTTCCTTACATATGATTGCATTCCATATGGACTTATGGAAGTGTACAATTAAAAGCTAAATGTTCATAACAGAAAAAACAGAATACAGAAGTAATAATCCTTTAAACTGTCATAATATTTTACAAATTATTTCAACCAGAAATAATGATAAAAATAGGGTTTGTTTATTTATTTATTTATTTTTCGGATTTGTCACTGCCCATCTTACTGCAGCGACTCTATGCCTCTTTATATCTAATAACAAGTATAGTCTATATTTTAAAGACAGAACTAATTGCTCAGCAGAAATCAGTTTGCAGATCTTTCAAATTTTTTAACTGGAATTGAAATGCAGAAAAAAATCTTGCCATTTCGATAAAATCTGACACTTCAACAAGTTCAGCCTCCAACAGTTATTGCACTGTTGCTATTAACTCAGTCATTTGATGTGATACTAGAAAACAATATGAGAATTTAAGATCATAGTGCTGATTTGTAGAAAGCCAGCTTTATTTGCAAACTTCTCCTGCAACCCACACATTATCTGCCATCACACTTTTTGTTTCCCCACAGAAATTGTACCTCCCTTCAATATGAGATGGCATGGTCACTCACTCGTGATGATTTTCCCTCATGTATTTTGTAAGTGCTTAATTCATTCACACATTGACTTCAGGAAAAAAATACATTTTTAAAGATACTATATAGAAACACCTAACTCAAACTTACAGATAAATTCTATGGTTCAATGTTGCGTTATGAAGAGAGTAAATTGGAACGTGGCCTAAAGAAAATATTTAATTATAGGTTACATGTTAAAATCCTCATCCTGGAAAACTGTAATTAATTTAGTTAAAATTTCCTAGAATAGACACCGACAGTATTCATAACAAAGTATCTCAATTCTGCTCTTTTAAATACTTTCATCTCATGGCCAATCTATTTTTTTTAACAAGACACAATCTTTTCTTTGTTTGAATAGATTATATTTTAATAAATTATATTATAATTACCTGTTGCCTAATTTCTTCTTCCATTTTAACTGGTGATCCCAGCTCTGCAACTTGCTTCACTCCTTCACTTGCATATCCTCCATACTCCCAAAGAACATAATTTTTGGAATGAGATCCACCAATAATTGCAGACCAGTGGTTAGCTCGTCCTTTAAAAAAAGAAGGAATCTTTTAAATGTTTATGGAAAAGTGTGCGATATATTGACAAAAGCTATTGCTTCATGTACATTTGCAGGCCTCCTTTCTGAAGGCACTTCCTGGAAAATGGTTCATAGTTTTTACTGACCACAGTTGAAATTTAAGGCTTTTAAGAAATTATTCTTAAATTTCTATTTGTATTTTTAATATAAATAATTGCATACAGTGTAAAGCTTCCAAAATGCTATCCTTTTGTAACTACCAAAGGAAGGGAGCAGATACTCTTAAATATGAAGCCATTTTATCATTTAATCATTAGATATTTCTGCCCATTATTACAAGTAGGTTACATTTTTAAAAAATGACATGTGAAGAAGTGAATTTAGAAGCATGTGAAGTACTAATCAGAACAGTAACTTCCAAGTTTCTCATGTGTAAGACATTCTTCACTATACTGGCCTAGCTATGAACTCCAAGGAAGCTGGTGTATAGTCTGGGGCAGTGTTTCTCAGCCTTAGCAATTTTAAGATGAGTGGACTTCAACTTCCAGAATTGCTGGCTGGGGAATTCTGGAAGTTGAAGTCCACTCATCTTAAAGTTGCTAAGGTTGAGAAACACTGGTTTGGAGTAACATGCAATTCCCTGGTACTGGACAAAAGAACAATCAGCACCTTGGACAGCATAATACTTTGCTCACTGACACTCTTCACTAGAAGACCTATTGCACCAACAAATGTCAGGCAAATGAGGCTATAAGGAGCATAATTCCTGATTGATACTGACTCTGATCCTTAAAGAACCTTCTAAATTTTCTTTATCTAAATCTTCACAGATTTGCTTCTTCAGAATGAAGCAGCCATGGAGGATTCATCCTCTGAGATTGTGATGGGATTATATTCTAAGGTTGGAAAACTGCAGATTCAGATATTGAGCAATCCTCCTTGAGTAGGATGGCATGCTATTTGTTGGACTTAGAGTTTTTTTTCAAGACTTTTCTTGAAATAAGGAAACAAGAGATTAGAGGATCTTGAATTAGGGGTGAAAATTAATTTCATAAACAAATGTGAAAGAAAGCAAAATATGGCAGATCAGGGCAATCCTGTTCAGGATTTCAGACAGCTAGCTGGGTCCTTGTATTGAGAACCCTAATTTGAGATTACCACATTAGTTCCACTTAGGAAGCACTGCTTGAATTTGGATATATTCTTTGTACAAAGCTCAGAGGAAGTTAGAACATGGAAGAGAACTGTGAATCTGACTACCAGTTCTCCAAATTGAAGAAAGAAACATTCATTTCAATATTTGTGAAAAGACTGCAATAATCAAGTATGGTTCCTTTGCCCAGTCTATCTGAAAGTTGCCAACTCTTTTGAGTCTCAGTTAAGGCTAAAAATTTCACATCATTTAAATACAATGTATCATAGTGATCTGAAATAATGATAATACTTTTTGTTATATAAAAATGAAAACTAACACTAAAATGAGAACAACTAATGGTGTCGGGGAAATGTCCACTTAAATAAGAAACCAAGGCATTTGGAGATAGATGCAACAAAGTCTCTTTTCTTGGCATGCATAATTACAGTGATCATCATGATTCTCACCAAAGGATTGTAGAAGAGCCCCATAGGCCCACAAGGTTACATGTTATATACTCTGGAAATGATATATAGGACTTACAAAAGCAGTGTAAATTATAACACATTCCACATTCCTTTACTGTAGGAATGTAGGATCTGATAACAGCATGGGGTGACCTTACTATGGGTTCACCCAGCAACTCTACATTCTGCTGTTCTAAAGAGACTCCAAGCCCACCCTTTCTACTGATTCTAGCAACTTCTAACATAAACAGTGTTCTTTATTGAACCATATACCGACTCCTTTCCCACCATGAAAAAAGACCACAACTGTTTTTTGCTATCTGTCTTTCTTTTCCAGGGTCATTAACCAGCTTCAGTTGCCTGTTCTGTTTAATATGCCCTTCAGCCTCATGTGCGTATGTAAGGAGAATATTATTTGTCTTCCACACTAATAAAACAAAGGTTAAATTAATACTAAACTGAACTTTGGGAACTGAAACATTTTTTTTTAATCCTGATTTTTGCATGCCTCCAGAAGAACTTAGCAACATACGCGATACCCTGCTGGATTGGATCCCTGGCTCATCTAGTCCAGCAGATGGCCTTCAGTGGCCAACCTGTGCACAAGGAAGCCCACCAATCTCCCAGCAGATGGCTTTCCCTCTATTGTGAGAAATGCCCATTTACTTTGTTTTCTATTCTTTAGCCAGCTGCTTATCCACAAGAGGACCTGCTCTTTTATTCTGTGGCTGTTAAGTTTACTAAGAGATTTTTGATGAAGGACTTTATCAAAGGCTTTTTGAAAATCAAAGTAGATGATGTCTACTGGACTGCCCTTATCCACATGTTTATTAACATCCTCAAAAAATTCTAGTAGTTTAGTTAAGCAGGACCTTCCTTTAATGAAGCTAAACCAAGGCTAGGCTAGGTTCATATTTCATGCAATGCTAAAATTTATTTGTTGGTTTTGGCTTAATATATGTTGCAATCCAATCACTGGAGCTTATATAAATTATTGTTTATTGCTTAACAGGTCATGTAAACTCAGCCAATTGTGGTTTATTTGACAAACCTCATTTAAGCAAACCATGGCTGGGAGTGATGCATGAACTCAACCATAGAATTGTCACGAAGAATTCAGTTAGTAAGGGTGAAATACTTTTTACATGGATCTACAGCATTCCAAATTAAAAGTTACTCATACTAGGCCTATATGCTAGGCCACAGGCATACAGTATATTTGTGGGTCTCAAGATTAAGTTGTTAAAATACAGAGAGGAGAGAAGATTGGATGAGAATATAAAACTAGAAAAATAATCTCAAGGTTTTTGTATCTGGCTGGGACCGCACACACATGGGAGGGAGGGAGGGAGGGAGGGAGCTGGCTGACTTGCGTGCCTAGTACAGAGATCTAGATTGTCTTGCTTACTCCTTCCCTCCCTGATACTATTCTTGACAGAGTAACATGGAGGTAACCAAGAAATTCGGCCTTATATCTTCAACTTGAAATCAGCAGTTATAAAGCAACAAAATGCTGTTAATGTCCAGCAGTTGTCTTATCATCCCTGAAGGCCTGGAACCAGAAAGAAATATGCTGTTCACTGAAAAACTGGGCCAAGATACTTTAGTATAAAAAATGCATTTTGGGCAAACAGAAATGAATTATGAAAAATTACTAAAAGACAAGTAAATTTCCTGTCTTTTGTGATAATAAAGAAATAAAGAATAAGCTGAGGAAAATGTAAATGGATAAAATTCTAATCAGAGATTGGGAAAATATTTTTAACCCCCCTCCCCCCCATGTATTTAGAAAGAAAAGAAAAGAAATGCAGACTGTAACAAATGAAGGGGAAACACTGGAACTCCAAAACACAATAGTGAAAAAAATGAGATTACTTGCTCAAAGAGACCAGAAATGTAATGATCCATTTCTAAATATCATTAGGAAAAAATATGGATAAAAATATAGCAAGAGAGAGGCTACTGGCAGGCAAATATGTCTAAAAACAAAGAATATAAGTGGAAAGTATCAAGACTGCTACAGAGATTCTAATTGCAACCTATGGTTTAATGACTGCTTTACTATAGGTAGTCCTTGACTTACAACCATTCATTTAACAACCGGTTGAAGTTATAATGGCGCTGAAAAAAGTGACTTATGACTGGTTCTTGCACTTATGACCATCGCAGCATCCCCGCAGTCACATAATCAAAATTTGGGCACTTGGCAACTGGCATATGACAGTTGCATCATCCCAGGGTCATGTGATTGCCATTTGCAACCTTCCCAGGGGGCTTCCAACAAGCAAAGTCAATGGGGGAAGCTGGATTCACTTAATGACCATGTGATTTGCTTAACAACCATGGCAAAAAAGGTCATAAAATTGGGCGTGATTCACTTAATGACCGCATTACTTAGCAGTCAAAGACTATCTGTATTTATCTATAGAAGTATTTTAGTGACAGGATGGTAGGCAATCTTCCCACATGCCCAATAATTCAGAATGCAATTGCCATAACCTCTTACTATGGATCTTGTTATCTAGGAAAACTGTAGACTATCATTACGACTATCTTTATGCAGAGTATTGGTTAAGAGCACGAATTTGAACTTGACAAATCATGAGTTCAATGCATGCAATCTCTCGAAATGTGAAAACGTTTTGTATCTAAGTATTTGTTCCCAGATGAAATCTGGGAATAATTATAATGGCTTATTTCAGTGGCCTGCTAAATCAATTGCATTCCAAGGAAGGGAACAGTGAACTACCATTTCCTTTAAAATGCTATGGGAGAGAGAATATATTCATGCTGTATATATTTATGCGTACAGTCTATGAGTTTGTAAGTGTGCAGTCTATCCCTCAGTGTGGAAATAAATCTCATTGAGGTCAGTGCAAGCTAGTTTCTGTTAAGTATGCTTAGGATTCAGACCTTGTCTTTCTTCTGAGTACTTCCTAGTTATTTCAGTGGAATGTACTCCCAAATCAGTGTGTGAAACGTTAGAGCCTCAAGCCAGCAAAATGCTGTTTTGTGATGAAATGTCTATGCAATCCACCCAAAAGGCTCAGAAAGATTTTCAAAGTACAGATTGGAGTATATCTCAAATTGCCATGTACATCTTGTAATAAAGGTTTCAACTGTATTTTACAGTATTTTGTCAGAGGTGTGTGAGTGTGTGTGTTTTATAAATATATCCCAGACACTGCCAAGAACAGAGCTTAAAAAGTTTCATCTGTATTAAAATGCACTTTCAATGATGAACTAGTAAATAAAAGTTTGTAAGTAATTTAGAGAAAGACATCAGCAGCAAGTGTCATGCTTATATCTTATTTATAAGCTAGTTATGTTAATGCTACCAAGGCAAAAAATAAGCAAAATTCCCTTTAAAGATTTTTGATTTTCATAGAAATCTAATAAAGTCAGCA